TCCATACCATTTCTGTCCTTTATTGTGCTCATCTTTGCAAGAAATAATGCCTTGGTATCTCTTATTTTCTTGAAGAGATCTCTAGTCTTTCCCATTTTATTCTTTTCCTCTATTTCCTTGCATTGATCACTGAGGAAGGCTTTCTTATTTCTCCTTGCTATTCTTTGGAACTCTGTGTTCAAATGGACATACCTTTCCTTCTCTCCTTTGCTTTTCACTTCTCTTCTTTTTTCAGTTATTTGTAAGGCCTCCTCAGACAACCATTTTGCCTTTTTGCATTTCTTCTTTTGGGGGATGGTTTTGAACACCACCTCCTGCACAACATTACGAACTTCTATCCATAGTTCTTCAGGCAATCTATGTATCAGATCTAACCCCTTCAATCTATTTGTCACTTCCACTGTATAATCGTAAGGGTTTGATTTAGGTCACACCTGAATGGTCCAGTGGTTTTCCCCACTTTCTTCAACTTAAGTCTGAATTTGGCAATAAGGAGTTCATGGTCTCAGCCACAGTCAGCTCCCAGTCTTATTTTTGCTGACTGTATAGAGCTTCTCCATCTTTGGCTGCAAAGAATATAATCAATCTGATTTCAATGTTGACCATTTGGTGATGTCCACGTGTAGAGTTATCTCTTGTGTTTTTGGAAAACGGTGTTTGCTATGACCAGTGAATTCTCTTGGCAAAACTCTGTTAGCTTTTGCCCTGCTTCATTTTGTACTCCAAGGCCAAACTTGGCTGTTACTCCAAGTATCATCTCTTGACTTCCTACTTTTGCATTTCAGTCCTCTATGATGAAAAGGACATCTTTTTTTGGTGCTAGTTCTAGAAGGTCTTATAGGTCGTCATAGATCCATTCAACTTCAGCTTCTTCAACATTAGTGTTTGGGGCATAGCCTTGGATTACTGTGATATTGAATGGTTTGTCTTGGAAACAAACAGAGATCATTCTGTCGTTTTTGAGATGATACCCAAGTACCGCATTTTGGACTCCTTTGTTGACCATGATGGCTACTCCATTTCTTTGAAGAGATTCCTGCCCACAGTAGTAGATATAATGGTCATCTGAGTTAAATTCACCCATTCCAGTCCATTTTAGCTCACTGACTCCTAAAATGCCGATGTTCACTCTTGCCACCTCCTGTCATACAGGGACCTAACATTCCCGGTTCCCATGTGATATCGTTCTTTACAGCATCAGACTTTACTTCCATCACCAGTCACATCCACAACGGAGTGCTATTTTCGCTTTGCCTCACCCTTTTCATTCTTTCTGGAACTTTTTATCCACTCTTCTCCAGTAGCATATTGGCCATACTGATCTGGGGAGTTCATCTTTCAATGCCATATCTTTTCTGCCTTTTCATACTGTTCACGGGGTTCTCAAGGCAAGAATACCGAAGTGGTTTGCCATTCCCTTCTCCAGTGGCCCACGTTTTGTCAGGACCTTTCACCATGACCTGTCCATCTTGGGTGGCCCTACATGGCATGGCTCATAGTTTTATTGAGTTAGACAAGGCTGTGGTCCAAGTGGTCAGTCATTCTCCGGTCGATGGATGTTCAACAGTTAGTTGCAATTTTGGAGTTCTCACAGGAGAAGATGAGCTCATGTCCTTCTACTCTGCCATCTTGTGAATCAGGCTTGCTTTAACTTATACCAAGGATATTTCTAAGACCAGTTTTTGTCTGGAATAATAAAACCCTGCTCCTACCAAGGGCACCTAAAGTGCCTTCTTCTGGAAAGGCAGCGGCAGTGCAGCCTGGCAGGCCCTCTTTTGCTGCGTACATTCAGTCATGTGCAGCTCTGTGACCCGATGGACTGCAGCCCACCAGGCTCCTCTGCCCATGGGGTTTCCCAGGCAAGAATACTGGACTGGGTTGCCATGCCCTTCGCCAGGGGATCTTCCCTGCTTTCCCCAAACTCATCATTATAGGGCCCAATAACTACCCCTCTGCCCTTAGCTATGTGCATATCAAACTCTGCACTCAAACCAGTCCAAGTGAAAAAGGGAGCAATTTCAAAGATCATTTCTTTCATCCTAAAGTTCTCTCATTGTCTGACTTTGTGAAAAACTGCTATACGAAAGGGCCAATTAATAACCTATAGCTTTGAAAGAGTTATAACTCAGGAAAAATATCTAAGAAGTCCAAAAAATAATTCATGACTAAAAACAACTGTTCTATTCATGAAAAGATTGCATTTATTTCTTGAAGAATCTGGATCTGCCTTAAGATGCACAATTGATTTGAAACTGGTCTTCTCCTGCCACCAAGTGTTAGCATACCAGTTTCTAATAAACCAGTTTCTAATAAACCAGTTTTTTCTAATAAACCAGTTTCTGCAATGTCAAATCACAGAAATACCAATACAAGGTCACTCAGTGTGAAAAATAAACCCAAAATAAAGCACTATAAAAAGCACTGACCTAAACAAATAAGAGTCTAACCACATGAAACAAATATACTCTGAAGAAATGATACAAACAACTTTAATTTTAAATATTTCAGAGACAAAGTAATTTAAAGAAGTTTTTCTGAGGTTTCATTCATTTGATTTTAAAAACTACCATTTTGAAAACATAGTGATAATCAAAATAGCTTGAAGAACTACTTTCAAGGGAATTCCCTGGCAGTCCAGTGCATAAGTCTCCATTCTTTCACTGCTGAGGGTATGGGTTCAATCCCTGGTCAGGGAAATAAGATCCCGCAAGCTGTACAACCCAGTCAAAAAAAAATACTACTTTTACTGCTCTCTTATGAGATACATTCCACTAGAATGTCATGAAACTAAGAATATGGAAAACTAACATATATATGTAAATACCTCCTGGTGTTAGAAAAATATATAATTGTAAAAAAAAAAAAGAAAAAGTTCTCCCAGAATCAGTTAGAAAACTTATTTCTCTAGTTTGGGAACCAGAATACCATACTGTGGCAGAGGAAGTTCCATATCAGGAAATTTGAAGAAGAGTTTCTTTATATGTTTGCAGGGGATAAGAAAAGGCCAGAAGGATATACTAGTAATGGTACCTAAAAGAGAGAAATGATATTGGGAGGAAGGGAGTGAGAGATTGGTGATGAGGGGAAAAAATTTATCTTTCACTCTGTAGGTCTGTATGTAGTTAGATTTTTTTCAGTGAGCATATATTCATCTAACATTTTTATAATTAAAATAACTTTTAAAATACAAGTACTTGAGATGACACAAACTTCTTAATATGAGTAAAAAAAAAAAAATACTCAACATCCCTCTACCCTGCCCCTCTTATTTCATTATCAACCTTAAGTAAACTGAATGTTGGGAATACATTCCATTATTGACTTTATCAATGGTCTCACCCATGTAAATGAGTGGACCCAGAATGAAAACCCAGAAGAAAATTAGTGCTGAGAGAAGAAAATAGATTCTGGTTGGGGCTCTGCAACTGAGAACAGTGTGATCTCATTTCAGCTACTTAACTCCTGAGTCTCAGATCCCCTTTCTATAAAGTAAAAGGAGCAGATTCCGTGAAATCATCTGTCAAGAAATCACTTAAAATGCATGCAGTCTGAAATGTCGAAATACAAACTCTAGAGTTAATTTAAGCATCCCTTTGATAAACATACTTGGATGCTCTCATTTCAAAGTTAACAAAGACAGAAACATTTTGAAATGTGGGTATTACCTTCACCACTGATTTGTCATTCTGGGATTAAGTTTGAAACCACTGGGAAGAGGACAGTCCACGTGAAAGCAAGATAAGAAAGATAACGAGTAAAAGAATAAACTGTCAGTCTACAAGTTTTGTCAGTTTTGATCATTCCTAATTCCAAAATCTATGATTTACACAAATTATTTCTACCTAAATACTCTGGAATGGTATCTAATACAGTTATTATTTAATTTGAGCAGAGGAAAAAGAAAACATGCAAGATACTGGGGGATAGGGTGATTTTTACAAAAGTTTGTAGTAAACTCGTAACCACAGGATGGCCAACCACCCAAACACATGTTTTACAGGACCAAAAAGACTTTCTGAGCATAGATATTAAATACAAACTGTGTCGAATTTAGAAAAAAGATCTACTTACTAATAACCATGACCTTCATTTATAGAGCTGCAAATCAGTCTGAACTGCAGCAAAGGGTTATGGAGAGCAGGAGAGGATACTAATCTGCATGCCCATCTCCAAAACTCTGGTACCTCAGAGCAGCTCGGCAGATGCCTTAATTCGCATGACAACCTCCCTAGGCTGAAATGGGAGAAACAAGGAAGGAAGCCCTTAGGATTCCAGGAGAACTGCTTGGGACTCCAGATAAAAGTTCAAAGTGCCTCCAGCCTCCGAGGGAGGAGGTGGCAACACTTTAGGAAGGCAGCAAGTCACCCTGAGATAGGGGAAGTCAAAAGACATGTCCCCTGGCTGTGTCACTGCTGACCACTTCCAGGGAGAAGTACTTTCAAGTAGGGAGCTTGGCAGGGCAGCCCTCCTGTTATCCCTTGCTCAGTCCCTGCGACACCTGCTCCACGCCCTCAGCGGAGACAACTGCTTAATGAGCAGAGGCTTTGTAGAAACTTCCAAAGAGCAACATAAAAGAGGGGAGGGGGCAGAGCATGTCCCACCTTGAAGAACCCAGCTACAGGGGGCAGTGCCAGTGTACGCAGGCCAGTGGAGGAAGCTTTGAAGGCAGCAGGCTGCAAACAATCAGAAGAAAGGAACACAGCAAAACCCAACTCTGGCTCCGCCCCCCAAGGCTTTTCAAGGGATGAAGCAAGATGTGGCAACAGATGAAGCAGCAGTAAGTGATGGTCAGAGTGTGCAGCTAACAGCCATGGAGGCAAAGGAGGAGACAGCAGCAATGGCCTCCAGGGGCCCCATGAGCCAACTCAGCATCCTTGGGAGCTGGAACCAAATCCAACTGGAATCCCAGGGGCAACAGTGGCAGGGGTGTCGAAAACCACTACAAATGTCACTCATGCTGCGGGTGGTAAAACAAGACTGATAATAAAACGTCCACTCACCTTCTTCCAGAGCCACGGTGACTTGGACAATTTCATGAAGGTCAAATGAGGCTTAAAAGTTCTGCTTTCTCCTGCCAAGATACCTTTTTCTTGAAACGTCCTTTTTGCAGCATCTGAAGAAAATAAAAAGAAGCAGAAAAATGCTACTATATGATATCCTATATGAGAAAAGAATCTAAAAAGGAATAAATATATGTATAATTGAATCATGCTGCTGAAACTAATTGATTTACAACAATGTAAATCAACTATACTCCAATAAAATTAAAATGTAAACAAAAAATGCTACTGTGGCTGTCCCTAATCATAAAAATGGCAACTCAAAAAATAAATTATTCTACAACGAAGGTAATAAACTGGCTTAGGATATTATTTTTAAGAGAGGAAAAACTACAATGTGTGTGATGCCAAATACATTATGACGGTTAAATCTGCAATAATGTCAAAGTCTGGCATACAGCAGAAATCAACACAACTTTGTAAAGCAATTACCCTCCAACTAAAGATTTAAAAATGTAAATTGAAAAAAAAAAACTTTGGGTAAAGCACACTAAAGCAACAAGTGGAAAAGGAAATATTTAATACATAAAATAACTGATGATATGATGCTGATTTCATGCACTATCCCAGTGGCGCCCATATATATATATAAAGGACTAGTTTATCTGTAACTCCTCATATCCAAAACTTCTGCTTCTAACCAAGATAGAATAACAGGAATCTGATTTACCCTCCCATCTGAGACTACTGGCAAAAAAAGGACAAAATATATGAAACAATGGTTTGTAAGACACTGTATACCTGGCAATGAAGGTGAGTGATCCCTTAGAGATGAGAAAAACACAAGGTGAGCCCTTTGATTGACCAGCTTACATCCCTGGGTGTCTAGGCCCCTGTTCAAGGAAGATAAACCCAGATGGAGCCCAGTCATCACACTAGGTTCAGAAAAAAAACCCAAGAGTAGAAAGACCAAGGCATCTGGAGCTCATGGACAGAGTGCCAGAGAAGTGAGGGCTGTACAGACAGAAAACGCCCGAGATCTGCAAAGGCTCCCCCTGGTGGATTCAGCCGAGAAGTGACCAGCAGGGGTAAGAGAACAAAGGACCTGAAGCTGAAAAACACATTCCAAAGGGTTAGAGGGAACACTGCCAGCTCTCACCCAAGACCAAGAATTGTGTCTGTTCCCATCAGCCAGACTGGAAAGCCTCAAGATGCACGGGACAATGGGAAGAATAATTTCCACTGATTTTGCCTGGAAAGGAAAAATGAGCTCTGGCCTAGTACTGCTCTAGTCCCTCCTAACAAATACTAGAAGCAAAACTCAAGAGGAAAAACCTGTTTCACAGTAATTTAGTTGTGTCCCAGCACAAGTCCAAGTATAATTATAGAAAGACAAAACCATCCAGCGCCCCACAAGTGCCTGGTATCGGACAAACAGGCACGTAACAAACAGGAAAATATGACCCACGAAGAAGAAATAAATCTATGAATCAAAAGCCACTCAGAACTAACATAGATGTTAGAATGAGCAGGTAAGGGCTTCGAAGCAGTTTTTCTAACTGTATTGTTTATGTTTAAAAAGTTGAGACATGCTAGTGATCAAAAAGATCCACATTAAACTTTTAGAGATTAAAAACTGCAAGGTCTGGGAAAAACAGATGAGACACCACAGAACAACAACAAAATAGTGAGCTTGGGAGACATAACAATAAAAGCCACCCGAAATAAAACAGAGGAAAAAAGGAAAACAACAACAGCAACAAAAAGAATAGCTCATCAGTGAGACGTGAGGCAACTTAGGTTGCCTAATACGTGTGCAAGTGGAGCTCCCTGAAAAAGAGGGAAGAGAAGGAGAGAAGATACTGGAAGAACTAATGGATGCTGGAGAGCGAGAGCTACCAGAGCCACAAAGGGAGGTAACCTGGGCAGCAACTACTAAAATTTAAGCTGCACAAGCATTCTGACAGCAATTCCAGTATTAGCAGAACACAAAATAAACAAAAGTACCAATACGTAAGAATCTATCTAAAAGATATTTAACATTGCTTGAATTATCACATGCTGAAAACACCTTCAACAATAAAGAAATGGGTGCTATTGGGCCTTCCAGGTGGTACAGTGGTGAAGAATTCCCTGCCAATGCAGGAGACGCAGGAGATGCCAGTTTGATCCCTGGGTCGGGAAGATCCCCTGGAGGGGGCCATGACAACCCACACTCCAGTATTCTTGCCTGGAGAATCCCATGGACAGAGGAGCCTGGTGGGCTACAGTCCCATGGATCACAAAGAGTCAGACACAACTGAGTGACGAAGCATGCACACATGCATACTAAAAACTGCTATAATCAAAAGAATGCATTCAAGTTACATTAACCTGAAAAGACATCTGTGGAACCTATTAAGCAAAAAAAAAAAAAAAAAGGCAAACTGCATGGTTACTATATCTGAAACATGATTCCATGATCTAAAAGGCAGATGAAGAAACAACAAGGATCTCCCATATAGCACAGGGAACTATATTCAACATCCTGTGATAAACCATAATGGAAAAGAATATATGTGCATAACTGAATCACTTTGCTATATAGTAGAAATTAATACAACACTTTATATCAACTATACCTCAATAAAACAATTTTTAAATAAAATATTTTAAAAGACAAAGAAAATAAATTCTATATATTTTTATTTTTATTAGCACAGAATAGTATAGAATACTTTAGGATAGAAGTTGAGATTGAACAGAGGTAGGAGAGAATAGTAATGCTTTCTTTATACCTCTTTAATTGTATGAATGATTATAATGAACATGCATTACTTTTGAATAAAAAGTTTAAAAATAATCATGGTAACAAACTGACAATACATGAGCAATATATGATTGCTACATGTGCACAAGCATCATTGTAGACGCACAAGCATCATTGTAGACGCACAAGCAAGAGGGGAGATCACTTTGCCAGACATGTGAAAAATCCATCCCTTTCACAGACCTTCAGTAAACAACTTAGCATTTGGTCTCTTTATCTTAAAATCAGGGCTAATGCATAAGTCAATTTTAAAAGCAAGACAACTGAAATGTAAGAAACTGATGCTCAAGGTCCCACTCCTTGTGAGCAGTGGAGAAGGAAGTGAAATCCAGGTGCCCTAACTTCTACCCTGGTCATGCTTCAAGCTGGCTGAAACCTCAGCTTGAACCCAGGGGGGCAGAGAAGGGCACAGAAGCTGCCTCTACAGCTTCAAGGGGAAGAGGAAGGCGGAGGATTCTGCCATCTTCCAGCACGCCTACACACACTGGTTTCAATCAGAGATGTTCCCTCGTTCTACACGTTGAGTACCATTTCATGTTTTTTTTTTTTAAAAGAACTCCAACATATACCAAAAAAAAAAAAAAATTCTGAAAATCAATGATCAAAAAACTTGCATAGGGTCCCTTCAGTAGAAATAATCCCACCAATAACGTCCATTTTTAAAAAATGGAAACTATAGGACTTTCCTGCTGGCCCAGTGGTTAAGAATCTGCCTGCCAATGCAGCAGATGTGGGTTCCATCTCTGGTCTGGGAAAATCCCACACGCCAAGGAGCAACTAAGCCTGTGCGCCACAACTTCTGAGCTTGCGTGCCTAGAGTCTGTGCTTTGCAACAAGAAGCCATCACAACGAGAAGCCTGCCCACTGCAACTAGAGGAGCTCCCACCCACCTCAACTAGAGAAAGCCCGCACACTGCAATGAAGACCCAGAAGAGCCAAAAGTCATTTTTTTTTTCAAATGGAAACTGATAAAACATAGGACACAGAATAAACCTTTGAATCTCAAAGGAGACCACATTTAATCTAAATATTCAGTGAGAAACGGTCCTTTTTAAGTTCAGCTAAATCTTATCAATGTTAAATATGTCCTAATTTTTCTAACAGTTAAAATCATGAACTTAATGAAAGATGATCTAATGATTCAAGGAAATGTATCCTTAAAAATAAAAGACACACCAGATACTGTTCTGGGTGCTGGGGATACAATGGACAAAATAAACCCTCTGTCCTCATGGAGCATCCATATCTAGATAGATAGACAGATAGATAGAGAGCCACAAACAAATAAACACACATTATCAGGAATCAATAAGTGATACAAAGAAAAGTAAAGTGATGGGGGTATACAAATTGCTGTGGAAGAAAAGGGGTTTGCTATTTTAGAGAAAGTGGTCTGGAAATCCTGTTCTGAAGGTGAGACATTCAAGAAGCCACCTGGAGGAGAATCGTGTGTGTTTCTAGGGTGAAGGAGCTCACAGCAGAAGGAACAGCTTTCAGAGTGAAGAGCGGTGAGCAGCCGAAGAGCAGTAAAAAAGGGTAGGTAACTGGAGCAGGGTGGGAGACGTGGGGAAGAGGTAAGACATAGGTTTAAAGAAGCGGTCAGGGGCCTTACGAAGCATGGTAAATAAGACCTTCAGATTGTATTCTCAGTATGGTAGAAAATTGTGAGTGTTTTAAGCAAGGGAAATTTATGTATGATAGTGACTTTCTTTAGTCAGCCATATTTCAGCTGGAAAATACATGACTTCCTGATGGAAGAAACTGAGGTTTTGGAGACTCAAAGTGCTCCTCTCTTTCCCTGGGGCTGTGTTAGTTGAAGGGAAGACAGCCAAACAGGGTGTCAGAGTGTTTAGAGCGGGGAGGCATGTAGCAGGCTTGGGTTTTTTTTTTAATATTTTATTTCTTTATTAGCTGTGCCAGATCTTAGCTGCAGCATGCAGGATAGTCAGTCTTTGTTGCAGCACATGGAATCTTTGGTTACAGCATGCAAATTCTTGCCTGTGGCATGCGGGATCTAGTTCCGACCAGGGATGGAAGCCAGGCCTTCTGCATTGAGAGCACAGCGTCTTAGCCACTGGACAACCAGGGAAGTCCCCAGGCTTGGTTTTGGAAGCTAGAGGCTTCCTTGTTCCCATATATAGTTATTTTCTGTAACTATTCTTGGGTACACGAAATTTCACTCTATTGCTCATGAGCTCATAAACTCAATGGGGCTGAGGATCCTTTCCACCCTTCCGCTACTCTTGAACACAAAGAGAAAGAATTCCCCGAGGCCAAGGCGGAATGGATAAGAATATTCCACCG